ATTTTAATTCAAAGTAAGATGTTAACATACAGTAAGAAAAACAAGCATATTCCTAATTCCCATTTAAACCCTGGCTAGAGATTAGACCAGTTGACTATGCAATCGAAAAACATCTTCTGACATCATCTGAAATAATCCAGAGTTCCCTCAGAGGCAGCGTGGGGAGAGAGAGTCACACAGGTGACCTGAGTATGATAGGAACAGGAGTGCAGGCAGCCGCGAGACCCTCACACTCTGGTGTATGACTGAGCCACCAAGACAAAAACTGTGGGAAAACATCTCCACCATAAACAAAAACAGAACCCACCAGACACAACCTCTTCATCAGAGCTGAAACATAAGATGCAAGCACACACAGGGCAGGTTCAAATACACATGAACACAGGTAATGCTCACTACAGTTCAGATAGGTGACTGAAATATAATCTAAATACACATGAACACAGGTAATGCTCACTACAGTTCAGATAGGTGACTGAAAAATAATCTAAATACACATGAACACAGGTAATGCTCACTACAATACAGACAGGTGACTGCAAAATAATCTCAATTAGATTAATATTTAACTACTAACAGAATTCCAAGGTAAAAGTTACCTTCTTACAAAAACAAAACAAAAAAACCTGCTTTATCAAAACCACTTATATTCTCCTACCCTTGAGAATTATAAAGAAGGGAAATAGCTAGGAGATGGGCCCAATAAAAAAGAAACATAGGCCAAGGCCAGGAGAGAGAAGAAAGGCGATTTAAGGCCCTTAAAAGGACATGGTCAACCCCCCAGGCCTAAAATGTCCTGTTTGAATTAACATAGTGGTTTAATTAAAAACTAAGTAGAGAATTCTGCTTAATTTGATTCTCAATTCGAGCTCTGCATCCGCCGTGGCTAGTGGCCAATTTCCGCATCTCGGCACGATATGCAAGGGGCCGCTTTAAAATCGACTGCCCAGGGGAATCAATGGGAGTTTGGCGGGGCCATGTGCCATTCAGGGCTCCACCAGACTCCGACGCAGTAAAACAGCACCAGGAGGGAGGCTTCAGGGAAAAAGGTAAACTTCACTTAACCATATTACAAGTCTGTCACTACTCCAATTATTGTGCTGAATCTACCAATTACGGTGCTTTCTAAAGCTCTCCTCAAGGTCGCCCTGGAAGTAGATGTGTCAAATGCAACCAATGAACAAAGCGCTTTAAAGGGATCCATGTCAAATGTCAGCAACCCACCCCCTTCATCAGAGCAGTGGAGTTCCTCACTGTGGTACAACCTATGGTAATACCACCTGTGGACAGCACTGGAGATCTTACCAAACACTGTTCAGAATCTGTGCAGTAAATACAAATGGTCATATATAACAGGATGGCACAATACTGCAAGCACAAACATCCCTAACACATTTAGACCGAAACAGATAATAGACCCCTGAAACTTCCATGTAACTGGAAAAGGTAAATATTGTGAATAACATTCCATGATTACTCAGACTTTAAAGCTCTCTAAACATTTCTAATAAGGTCTAGATGCACATTGTTTTTAAATTTTACTGAAATATAGTTGATTTACACTCTTGTATTAATTTCTGCTGTAGCGCAAAGTGACTCAGTTATACATATTCTTTTTCAAATTCCTCTCCTTAGGTTTATCACAGAATATTGAGTATAGTTCCTTGTAGCTGTACCTTCTCTTAGGCAGTTTTGATTCTGCTTCGGTACATGCCATTTCAAAATGGCAAAAATAATGTGGAATCATAAAATTGCCTAATAATATGTGAATAATTAAGAGCTGACTGCTGTATTTCATTCCTTCCCAATGATCTATGCAAGTAACACTGATGTTTTCTAGAATATTTAACAGCTAAATGCACGAAGCTCTAAGATAGTGACAATAATCCCTAATATTTACTGAGTTCAATCCTGGGTTATGTGCTTCACGTGGACAATCACTTCTCATTCAGTCTTCCAAATGGAACAGTGAGGTAACTATCATTACTAGACCCACTCTACAGAAAGAAAACCTGAGGTGTAGATGATGTAACCAGCCCAGGCAGCCTGACACTAAAGACAGACTCTCCCACCACAGTCCTGCAATCTCTCTTCCACACCCCCACCGCCAGCACACTAAGAGGAGAATTATCCTACCACTTCTCCTCCAAGCCAGAACCCCACCTTCCTCCTTCCTTCAGCAGCATTTATTAAAGACCACACACTTTAATTTGGTTTCTACAACTCCAATTCATCCCCCAGCTACCAGAGTCTCATAAATGGGAACCATCCTGAGCTCTGTTCCCCCCACCCCTTTTAATCCTTGGCTGTGTCTGGGAATTAACTGGATGGGTCATGCCCACTACATCCTACAATCACTGAGCACATTAGTCCCCTCGGAGACCATGAAATGTAGCTAGTGGCTGGAGAGACTCTGAGGAGACATACTCAGAAATGTACTCAAAAAAGGCATTCTTTTAATCATGAACAAAGAGACTAGAAGTAAAAAAAACTGGAAGGAAGAACTGCTGTGTAATTGTAGATGCAAAATATCTTTACTTACCTTCTTATACCTCTCCTCAAGCTGTCTCCCCTCTGACCTCGGTGGACAAGGGGGAACAGGAGAATAGTAACTCCTCACTGGGTTTTTGCGTCAACTGTTTTTAATTCTAGAGATGGTGCTAACTCTGCTCCAACAGATTTAGCCAAGTCCCTTTTCCAGTTGGTTAGTTCACAAGAAGGGAGGAAAATGATCTGGATGCAAGAGGTTTGTCCATACTGCACACTGTTTTTAAAATAATCTATTTAACTAATAACCAGGGAGCATACCTTTAATCTCCAAATATGAAAATACATTTATAACACTGAGCTTTACATAGTTTCTGCACTTGATAAGATTATTCATGAGACAGACAGGGAGCGGGGGTGGGGAACTCTGCGTGTTTGAAGCAAGCATTGACAAGGCCGTTTTAGTGACTCTGTTTGAGAGTCAGGGGCATGACTGATTCGGGGCAGTGACGTCCCCACCAGAGCACTCTGCATATGCAGTGCATGTACTCCTTCCCCAGGGATGTATGCTGACATTCTGATACACGCATTTATCTCTAAACATGCTTAAGCAGAACAGTAGATGCAGAAGTCTCATCAGCAATCCTGTGCCAACTCCCTGGTGTCTATAGCATAAAACCCAGACTATGTGGCAGAGGACTTGGGCCTCAGGGTCTGATCCTGACCAGTGCTGTCTCCGTTCTCCACTCTGAGCTAAGCATCGGCCACTTCTTCAGTTCAGACAGTGTCTCCGCCTTTGCTCAAGCCTGGATGCTCACCTGCAATTCTCAGCTCAAGGGCAGGACAGCTCCGCCCTGAAGTCTTCCCGACTCTCTAGGCAAACCGAGACACCCCTCCCCGAGCAGCCTGCCGTGTAAAAGCTCCTCCAGCACCTCTGACTTCTCCCTGTGTGAGCCCCTTGACGGCGAGAACGCTGTCTTTTCCTTCCTGTACCCAGCAAGCCCCTCTAACAGCACAGGAATCACTGCTCAGTGAGGGCCTAGTAAGACTCTGCCAAGTGAACGACCGCCCATCAAAAGGCCCCCACATTCCACACAGCTTGCTTCCTCAGGTGTCTCCGATGACCTCTTTCCTCTCCGTGACCACGTTCTTTCCCTGCGTCCCCTCTGTGACGTTCTGTTCTACGTTCCAGTCTCTGAGAGCTCTGTCTTTTTGTCTCCAGACCACACCCGCTCTGTCCACTTCTACCTGCCACACCCCTGCAGCACGCCTCTGCCCCTCTGCCCCTGGGCCCCTGGCCAGCCACCGCCCAGCAGGCACCCTGCTGGCTGTTCCTGTGCTCCCCACAGTGCTGACCTGGGAAGAACTGCACACTCTGGGAAGGTAAGAAGCACGCCCTGGGTCTTAGTTTGAGTTCTGCAGTGGTAGATATAAGGTTCTTAGACAATTTAGTAACATTAATACCATTTGATATAAAAAGAGTTTGAACTAAATCCCTTTCAACAGCAAAACTTTCTATAATTCTTCAAGAAACTTATTTTTTTTATTTTTTAATTGTTATGTTTTTTATTTGTTTAAACTGAAACTACAAGTTGTTCCCATTACATGGATGACTTAAATAATTTACATATATCATTATAAAAAACAAATCAAATATATAAAAGCCAGTGTTCTCAATGCAGGGTTGACCACCATACACAATCACCCACTCTGATCTCAGTAGATTTACCAAATACGAAACCAACCATATACCACAGTAAGAATACGAATAACTCTAACTAAAAGTTAAAAAGCTGTAACATGTCTATAAACTATAACGCCAGACCTCATTTCATCAAGTTTTAAAAGCCACTCAGAAAGCATTAACTACCGAAACCCTTCCATTATATTCCAAGCTTTTACAGCAGAGAACCCCACAAGCCATAAATGGAGATGTTGCTCCCTTCACTTTAAAGCACCCTACTACTCAAGGACAGAGGGAGTGACTCCTCTTACAGGTCTGGATGAGCTGTCTAAGATGCTCTGGCAGTCTGCTCTCTGCCCACTTCTCGGCCTCCCACACTCATCTCGCAGTCAGTCACGGGTCCTGGGAACCTGACAATCCAGGGCAGCCTGGTAACATGCTGCCCTCCTGCAAACACTGGCTGTGAAACCACTTCTACATCAAGATACAGCTTCATGTCATGCTTTACACTGAATGACAGTATCTAGGAAAAGAATAATAGCTGTTGTATCAGGCTTATTCACTCTACAAAAGAACACTCCACCCACTCTGCACATACTATCAAAAGCATTCAAAGGTCAAACGATGACTTCCTTCCTGTGGACACTTTTATTAACTCAATGTGTAATATTATTGACATTATTGTAAAAGCATTATTAATATTAACAAGGCATTGCTATTATTAAATGTTTTACATTTCAGTAAAAGTTGCTTAAGCCTACTATTTCAACAATGAATGACATTTACTTCATCATTTAAGAAATTTAATTCTAAAACATCATTTACTTACCTTTTTTAGACCAGCAAAACCTTCTGATTCCAAAAAGAAAAAGGCAAAGGGCATCAACACAAATAGACAAAGATTGGAAAAGAGAGAAGCAAGGTTCCACAAACCTATGAGGATAACAATAAAGGAAAGATGAGTTAGACATTGACAACCTTGTCAAAGAAAACTGTTGTGCTAAATTGTGCTATCAGTCAAAGCTCTGTACTTTCAATAGTAAAAGCTAAACATAAACTTTAATAGAGAGGCCTAACAAAGGACCTAAACTTAGAAATAAGAATAATAATTACACATTTCTGTAAAATTTTTACAACTCTGCAACCTGTACTATTGGGAAAAGTCAATATAGAAACTACTGATTTTTCCTCATGCTCTAAATTCACTAAACATATGACATATGCAGCAATCCAAAGACACAGCCTCTTCAGACATATTGGCACCTGAATATTTAAATTAGAGCCAGCAGCATTTATTGAGCACTTAATAAATGCCAGATACTCTACTAACCATTTTACATGTATTATCTTGTTTAATTTAAGCCTCATAAAACCCTAAAAGTAATAATTAGCATTTACTGAGCCCTCATGTGCCAAGCACTGTTCTAAATGATTTACAGATATTATACAAACTCATTTAGTCTTCACAGCAATCCCCCAACATGACAGAGGCTGGTTATATAAAACCCGCCCAGCCTGCAGAGCCTGCAAGGAGCTACACTAATTCCTAGGATTTTTAAAAACGACCGCATCACAGAAGTTTAGTAACCAACTCCAACTGGGAAAGAAAACTTGAGAGGCAAGCGAGTTCACATCACCTTTTCCCTTTCTGGCACATTCTACACTCATAAAATCACAATAAAAAGCAACTGAGATGATAGTAAGACTTGATTTTTAAAAATACAGAACTTTAGGTATCTCGTTGGGATATTTGGACCAGCAGCTCACTTTTTATAGTAACACATTCAACTTTAAAACTGATGGCTATAATCTTCATTAAAATTTATACAAAGATAAAAATTATGCTAAGCATAAATTCAACACACTACATACATTTAAAATCCAATGCTTTTGAAGACGGGCAGCTGATGTCCTTTCGAGTCCCCTACTTATATGGCACTGTTTCAGGCACTGGAGGTGTGGCGGTGAGGGAGACACGCACCTCTGCCCTCGGGGACCTCCCATCTCAGACAATGGGGGCACACGCTGAGCTCTCGGGGAACCAGAGCAGCCAGCTCCCAACCGCCCTGGTGACAGATCCATGCGCACATTTCCTAACAGCCCTAAATCCTCTCGGAATAGCATGGAATAGAAACAAAAAGAACGACTGCAGCACTTGTACAGGTTACCTAGAGAGATGTACTTCCTTTAGTAAACACGGTGATATAATTAAAAATCAATTTGCAGTTTCTTATTAAAAAATTTAAATAGGTTAAATAATTCTACAGTATATATTTATTTTAGCAGGAAACAGAATGTTTTACAAAGTGTCTTCAAAAACAATGTCTCATATCTTTCAGAGGGAAAAACTTTAATTTGTACTTTTAAAAATAAAAATTGTTCTAAAATACTTAAAACACTTTTCAGTCTTAAAAAAAAATAAGGATGCTAAAAATCTTTATCTTCTTCTTCAATCAGAGGGGTTATAGTTACAGCCAATTGCATTGTGTTAATAACCAGGAAAGACACATAGGTTGGTGACCAAATGGACACACAAGACTTCCAGACAGACCTGGGTTCGAGCCCCTGCACTATCATGTGACAGCCCTTCTAAGTCACAGGTTCGTCATCTACACGAGGCTGAGGATCATGTCTGTAGGTGATGCTGAGAATTCAAGGAAATAACGCATGGACAGCAAGCACGTCTGTCACAAAATAAGCACTTAATGACTTTTTGCTTTTAATAACCATCACATCCCCAGAGGCTACTAACACACGGTGCTAATTAGCTCCCTTACCAAGCTACCAGACTCTCGGAGCACCCGTGTTCACTTGGTAAAAAAGAACGACATATATAAAAAGCAAAAATGTTAATCTATAGCAAATTTGCTGAGTTATTATTGACATAGTGTGTACAATTTATTGACAATTTATGACTTTATTGACATAAAGTGTACAATGTCATAAAATTTGACAGTTATGTCACCGTAACCAAGACAACAAATGCAACTGTCACTCCCAAGTTTCCTTACCATTTTATAATCACTGCCTCCTGCACTTTCTACCCTACTCCATACTCCAAGAGTCAGATTCTACACTTTATAAAAAACTATATTTTTTATAAAAAACTTAAATTTTCTATACATGGTAAATGTAGTATATGCTCTTGTTTTTGTCTGGCTTTTGTCACCTGGCACAATTCTGTTGAGATTTTTTCAACACTATGGCGCATCGGTAGCCTGCCCCTTTGTATCAGATTGGATTCAGTTAACCACACTTCAACCATGTCCCTGCAAACTATCTGAGCTGTGGTTCTCACAACTAAAGTTGTGTTTTACACAACTAGTGTTTAGTCGCGTCTCACAACTAAAGTTGTAGTTTATACAACACAGCTTTATACATAGATGAGTTTTATACACTCAAGTACAAGTCTTCATACAGACACAAGCTTTCATATCTTTCGGGTAAATATGTGAGCATGCAATGTCTGGGTCATAAAGTAGCTGTGTTTCTTAACATTTAAAGAAACTGCCAAAATGTTTTCCAAAGTGGGTATACAATTTCACATATCCACCAGCAGAGTTGACGTCTCATCCACATTTTGACAAAAAAAATGGTCTTTTCAGTTTCAGTTGTTCTCACAGGTGCACACTGGTATCTCATCACTGCTCTAGTTTGCATTGCCCCCATGGATAATAACGTCAGATCTTTTCATGAACTTATCTGCCATCCATTTACAACTTCTTTGCTATATGTCTCTTCAAATTTGTTGCCCATTGTTTCATTGGGTTGTACTTACTGAGTTTGTCAGTTCTTTATATACTCTGATTACAAGTCTTTTATTAGGCATATGATTTCCAGATACTTTCTCCCACTCTGTGAATTATCTTTTCACCTTCTTAACGCTGTCTTTCAAAGAACAAGATTTCCTAATGTTGACAAAGTGCAATTAATCAATGTTTTCTTTACGGATCATGCTTTAGCTATCTTGCCCAAGAAATTACAGTCTAGCCCAATGGCAAAGACTTGCTCCTATACGTCCTTCTCCAAGGGTTAGTCTCTGGTTCTTTTGAATCACTCTCTACACGTGGTGCCAGACATGGACTGAAGCTCATTTTAAGCCCATGACTGCCCAACTGCTCCAGCGCCATATACTGAAAACAGCCTCTCCCACCAAACCTCCTTTGCATCTTTGTTACAAACAAATGTACAATATGTTTGGATGGATTCCTGGACTCTGTACTCCATTTAGTTAGACTATCTGTCCATCTCTGTGTTGATGCAAACAGCAGTGTCGGTTACTACGGCCTTAAAATAAACTTTGAGTCCCGCAGTCAGTCCTCCAATTTTGTTCTCTTTCAAAGATGTTTTGGCTAGTCTAAGTCCTTTAAATTCCCATCTAAGTCTTAGATCAGTTTTTCAATTTCTACCCCCACCCCCCACCCCAAAAAAACCATGCTGGTGTTTTAAGATGGTGTTGAATCTACGGATCAGTGTGGGGAGAACTGGTGTATTAATGGGCTTCCTTAACACGGCTGCCTTCTGAGCCATGAGCACAGCCGCACACCTCTCCATGTATCTCAGCACGCTTTAACTCTCCTCAGCAGTGATGATGAGTTTACAGTATTCAGGCCTCACACATCCCTAACCACTTCACATTTTCTATTCTACTGTATATAAATGGCATTGGTTTTTAAATTGATTTCCAATTATTCATTGCTAGTGAAATGCAATGGTGTTTGATACACTGATCCTATATCCCTGAAACCTTGCAAAATTCACTGATTAGTTCTAATAGCTTTCTTAGAATAATTTCCATCAGAATTTCAATACATGTAAAGTAATTAGCCTCCAACTAATAAAAATAAATGGAAAAAAAAGAAAAAAAAAGAATTTCAATACAGTCATGTCATCTGTTATTAGAGACAGTTTTACTCTTTCCTTTGCAATCTCATTTATTCTTTAAAAACCACCAGGACAGAAGTGGTGAGAGGGGAAGCTCAGGTAAAAAACATTTACTATTAAGTATGATGTTACCTGTAGGGTTTTCAGAGGCTCTTTATTAAGATGAGGGAATTCCCTTTCATGCCTAATTTGCTGAGAGATTTTATCAGGAATGGACACTGAATTTTGTCATATGCTCTTTCTGCATATATTGTGGTGACCATATGAATTTCCTGGTTTAGTATGTGCATATGGTAAATTAAATCCACTGCTTTTGTCAAAAGTCATGATATATTATCCTTTTTATATATTGTTATATTTGATTTGCTAAAATTATGTTTAAAATTTATACATCTATGTTCACAAACAATATTCACCTATAGTTTTCACATATGTCTATCTGGTTTTGGTTTGGTATCAGGGTAATGCTGGCCTCAGAGTTGGGAAGTATTATCTCATTTTCAATTTTCTTAAAAAGTCTGTGTAGAAATGGCATTATTTCTTCCTTAAATACTTGGGAGGACTACCAATGAAGTCTTCTTAGCCTAGAGTTTTGCTTGTGAGAATGTTTGAAACATTACCATAATGCCTGAGAATGTTTCAGTGGTTTTCGCCTTTCAAGGAATTTTTCCATTTCTCTAAGTTGTTGAATTTGCTGACATAAAGGTATTCATAATACACACTAATTATGTTTTTAACAGCTGCAGAATCTGTAGTGATATCCTGATACTGATAACTGGTATCTGTTTTTCTGATCAATCTGGCTAAATCTTTACCAATATTATTGACCTCATTGATTTTCTCTATGCTTTGTTCTCTATTTTGTTCATTTCTCCTTTCATCTTTTTTATTTCCCATCCCCTTACTTTGGGATTCATTTGCTCTCCTTTTCCTAGTTTCTTATGGTGGACACTGTACGAGACCTTTATTTCCTTTTCTAAAATAGGTATCTTTGTATCATAAATTTTGGAATGCTTCACTTTCATTTTCATTGAGGTCAAAGGACTTTC